AAGTTATAAAAATTTCTTGTTCTAATAAAATTGCTCAAAATTTTGCATATTGTTTCATCTACCTAGTTACCGTATGTTGATGATGTTTTTTACTTGTATCTTTCATATCATCTATTGATATATGAAACTTTGTTCATTACCTGGCAATTGCTTTCTCATTTGGCTGTACAATTTTAATTGTTTAACGTTTTTGTATTCATTCTTTTATTGTGATGCTAAAGATAACAACATCATGTTGAACAATAAAACAACTTTTGTTTGTCGTCTTATGCCAATACCTCAAAATGACGGCGATGGTAGCGATGGTATTTTCTGGTCTTTTATTTAAGACCTTTAAGCTAATCAATCGTCTTTCACAAATGATCCGTCCCCGTAGTTGGGTTGGTTTTCAATGAATTAACCAAATGCTAAAGCAGTAAACAAATTTTTGACATCGTTTTTTCGCGAAGTAACCACATACTACTATAGAATTGTTCGTGTACATCCCATGTGAAAGCTTATAAAAACCAGTGTTACCTAGAAATTTACAGCATTCTTGTAGTTCGCTAGCTAGTGGTGTATAACATATAACAGAAGGCATAGGCAATTGATTGAGCAACAGGTTTGGGAATCTCCTGTGACACAGTCATAATTTAGCTGTTCTTCTTTTTTTTTTGGAAAGACTGGAGCATGAAGACGCAAACATAAACTGATTAATGATGCTGTCTTGAAACTGATGAATGCGGGTATTAAAGATATAAGAATTTGAATGGAAAAATTTATTGTGTTGTGTCGATAAGTTAACTATTTCAAGTAGAGTTCCCAAAAATTTTCTTTTCAATTTTTATTTCACAAAAAAAAAAAAAAAGCAGAAGGAGGTAAGAAGATTTTAGAAGTATTTGTTGATGACAATGCCGACTGCAGAACCAATGAAAACTCTGGATAATTGAAAAAAGGCTGATAGTAATTTCCGCTAAGGATGATGATCAAAATATCATAGTTTACGATAAGAAGATAACAGTTGTTGATACGGAAACCTCTGGAGAATTCAGCCTTGTTTTTTTTTTTTTTGCACCGTTAATACAAAGCATAGTTGTGATCAGATCCAAAAATTGTCAATTTTTTTCTTTTTTTGCTGCAATGTTACGTTTTTTTTTTTTTTTGCCAAAAAATTTATTCACTTAATTACTGCAACGACTGCAAAATAACGACGGCAACGGAAATCAGAAATCCACCAAACTTACACTTCATCGATTATTGTTTCTGATGTTTGTTGGGTGGTGTTTTGTGGATGGTACAGCAGTTTGAAAAAGAAAAAATTGTGGCAAATTTCCATGACTTTTTTTTCTTTATCACTTTACTCAGCTTATTATACCGTTATTTGGGGAAATAGAAAAAAAAAACTTAGGAAAAAAATTTTTAGTTCAAAAGACTGAAAAGCAATGAGAAATTTGGAAGTGGAAAAAAAAAAACAAGACTGAAAAAAAAATTTTTTTTTTTTCAATAAATAATAAACGACAAATATTTAATGGTTTCATCAGTTTATATGGTTGGAAAAAAAAAA